TGTCTTTATTCCACATTTAAGGTGTGATTTTTATAATGACGCTACCAGCTGACAGATCCTGACTCACACTTCATTAAACTTTAGTCCCACAGAGGGTGGGCGTCCAGCATTCTGCTTCTACGAATTATTCTTTGTTCAGAATTTGCCATGTTTTTTATTTTCTCTCGCCTTACACAGTTGTAACAGCACAATCATCGTTCTTTCTGCTGCTGATGTTGTGTGATACAACAGATTTTTCATTTAATTCTTTTTTCTTTTTGTTTTGTTTTCCAGGCTTGTTGTTGCTGTGCAATGCAAAAATGTGGCTTGTTGTGATGTATGTTATGGGAATTGCTATCGGAAAAAAAAAAAAACTAAAATAACAATAGAGGAAGCACCTTGCAAAGTAAAAATGGTACATGCACCTGGCTCACTGCAGGGTTCAGTGGTGAGCTCATCAACCCTTAACAGTGTAGCTCAAAGTTTCCAAAACTGAAAGTGGACAAAATTCTCACTAATTGGAGAAAACTCAAAGCTTGTGAGCTGTGTGGTGCTTTGGGGTTTAATCCTGTGTGTGTGTGTGTGTGTGTGTGTGTGTGTGTGTGTGTGTGTGTGTGTGTGTGTGTGTGTGTGTCACAGTTATCAATGTTAGGGCTGTCTGATGTCTTTCTTTTCTTTCTTTGTCTTTATTTTGAACATGAGTACATACACATAGTAATACACACAACATAAGCATCCATCCCTCTTTGGATGGGGCAGCTCTTCTTTCTGGGAACATGGCCAGTTTTATTAGTCCTCCATGACAACCCAGGGTCCAGACCAGGAAGCAGAGTCGTAGTTTAACACACCCCTCTGCAGCTTCTGTACTGTTACCCACCCACTACCCCATAGAGACATTGCCCTGCCCACGGCCAAAATCACACAGATTAAATATCAGGCTTAATAAAGCAAATCATGGAAATCTCATAAATATTAGAACAAATTGAACTGAGCAGAAAACTAGAAAAAATTCAGTGTGGGTTGTTGAACATTAGATCCATTTTTTCCTAAGACTTTGTTAGTTAATGACTTGATTTGTGATAATCAGATCTCTTTGCTCTCTCTCACAGAATCCTGGCTGCAGCAAGAGGACTATGTTAGCTTAAACGAGTCCACTCCTTCAAATTATTTAAATCATCATATTGCTCGAAGTACAGGGCGAGGAGGAGGAGTAGCAACCATTTTTCCTTCAGACTTATTAATCAGTCCCTTACCAATTCATAGCTACAGTTCGTTCGAACATCTTATTCTTAGTTTTCCTAGTCCAGATGGCAAAACTGTAAAACCACTCTTGTTTGTAGTTTTATATCGTCCACCAGGCCCTCACTCTGAGTTTTTGGATCAGATCTCTGATTTTTTATCTGATTTGGTGCTAAATACTGATAAGGTCATTGTAGTGGGGGATTTCAACATTCATGTGGACATTGAAAATGATAGCCTCAATGTAGCCTTTTATAATATCTTAGACTCAATTGGTTTTACTCAAAGAATACATAGCTCCACCCACTCCTGCCATCATACATTGGACCTTGTGCTGACTTATGGCATTGAGTGTGAGGAAATAACAATCTTTCCACATAATCCAGTCCTCTCGGACCACTTTCTCAAATCAAATCAAATCAATTCACTTTTATTGTCACGTCACATGTGCAGGTACACTGGTACAGTACATGCGAGTGAAATTCTTGTGTGCGAGTTTCACAGCAACAGTTGTGCAAAATACAATAACGTAAAAACAAGCAAATATAAAAATGGCTAATCTAAGTAATAATATATATAGTATTTAAGGTATATACATTCCTAAATGTGTGTGCTAAGTATTTTATTTTTTATTTTCCTACGTGTGTGCGTGTGAGTGTGTGTATAATGCGTATATACATATTTAACCAATGAATAAAGTAAACAATAAAATAAGAGATATAAATGTACAGAGGTTGGTATGTGCAAAACTGTGGCATTAATGTACAGTATGGAGCGTGTAATGTTGGAGTTTCAGTAGTGAGGGTGAGGTGTCTGCGCCGTGTTCAGCAGTCTGATGGCCTGATGGAAAAAGCTGTCTCTCAGTCTGCTGGTTCTGGACCGGATGCTGCAGAACCTCCTTTCTGATGGAAGTAGTCTGAACAGTTTATGGCTGGGGTGACTTGAGTCCTTGATGATCCTCCCCGTTTTCCTCAGGCACCGCTTCCTGTACATGTCTTGGAGGGAGGGAAGCTCATCTCCAATTATCCTTTCAGCACACCGCACCACTCTCTGGAGAGCTTTGCGGTTGTAAGCGGTGCTGTTGCCATACCAGGTGGAGATGCATCCAGTGAGGATGCTCTCAATGGCACAGCGATAGAAGGTTCTGAGGATGCGGTGGCTCATGCCAAAGCTTTTCAGTCTCCTGAGAAAGAAGAGGCGCTGCTGTGCCTTCTTCACTGTATTGTTCGTGTGCACTGACCACGTAAGATCCTCAGTCAGATGAACTCCAAGGAAACGGAAGCTGCTCACCCTCTCCACAGCATCACCGTTGATGGTGATGGGGGTGTGTATTCCTCTGCACCTCCGGAAGTCCATTATCAACTCCTTTGTCTTTGTGACGTTGAGAGTGAGACGGTTGTCCTGACACCAGTGGGTCAGGGCGCTGATCTCCTCCCTGTAGGCCATCTCATCGTCGTTGGTGATGAGACCTACCACTGTGGTGTCGTCCGCAAACTTCACAATGATGTTGGAGTTTCTTGTGGCCGTGCAGTCGTGGGTGTAGAGTGAGTACAGGAGAGGGCTCAGCGCACACCCCTGTGGAGCACCAGTGTTCAGTGTGACGGGGGATGAGGTGGTGCTGCCCAGTCTTTCTGATAACCTTTGAGTTTTTTATAACTGAGTTCTCGAGACATGAAAGTAAATTTCACTATAGTCGGTCTCTATCTGACAACGCAGTTGCATCTTTTAAATCAACTGTTCCATCTTTACTGTCCTCAGCATCTCAGAGGAACGTAGCAGAGGGCAATATTTTCACTTCTAGCCCCTCACAAATTGATGCCTTAGTTCATCATGTTAATTCCTCTTTACGTGTGGCATTAGATGATGTTGCTCCTTTAAAAAGAAGGTAATTAGGGACAGGAATTTGGCTCCATGGTTTAATTCTCATTTACGAGCCTTAAAACAAAACTCTAGGAAATTGGAGAGAACATGGCGCTCTACGCACCATGAGGAGGCCTACCTATCCTGGAAAAATAGTCTTGTGCTTTGTAAAAAATAAGCTTCGACAAACTAGAACTGCTTATTTCTCAGCTTTAATTGAGGAGAATAAGCATAATCCTAAATTTCTTTTCAGTACAATTGCTAAACTTACACAGAATCATAGCTCTGAGCCCTCTATTCCCTTAGCCCTCAGCAGCAATGACTTCATGGGATTTTTTACAAGTAAAATTAATTCTATTAGAAACAAAATCTTTAGCATCCTCCCTAATGTGATTTCTTCTTCCTCAGTAAGTGAGGCAGCATCAGAGGTGACTGTAGAACCTCATCTGTGCTCGAACCGTTTTGATCCAGTTGAGCTTTCAGAGTTATCAAAAATATTAGCTTCATCTAAACCTTCAACTTGCATTTTGGATCCAATCCCAACCAAATTATTTAAAGATGCATTTCCTTTGGTTACTGCCCCCATTCTAGATATAATCAATCTATCCTTAGTAAATGGATATGTACCACATGTATAAATATTAAATGCTTATAGATTATTGCTTTTCACTGGTAAAAATGTGTATTGGGGATAAATCTACCTACTTTTTTTTGTCTTGATTTTATTAGAAAAATTTTCTGCCCTTTCTCTCTCTAACCTTCCTGCATGCTGCATGTTTTCTCCGTCTTCCAGAAAAACTGTTTCCTAGATTTCCTTCTTTCTAACTAATCAGTCAAAGAGATCTACCGAACACAAAAATAAAAGCTTAACATGTGCTGTGCTCCAGCAGCAATGAGTTGAAATCAGCGGGGCACAGATTATGAACTCAGCTGAAAAGTACATGAAGTACCAGAGAATATGGGCGGATATAAACGATCGCAAACGAATTACTTAGTTTTGGTGGAGCGATTTTGTGAATATAACAGCGGCCGCGCGCAGGACGCAGCTGGAGTGTTTGAGCCATTACTGCTGCGTCCTCTCTGCTCATAGAATGCTCACAAAGCTGAGTCCATAAATGACGTCATATATGTGGATACTGGATCTTTTTTCGGGCTTCCCGCAATTTGAATTTTAGGATAAACTCACATCTTGATTCTGGGTTTAAAAATGTATTGTAATTACCGCGTTACCGACAATTGTACCGAGTAAATATTACCATTTTTTCCCCGTAATGCCTTACATTACCACATTACAGCAAAAAGCAATGCATTACAGTAATTAATTACTTTTGTACCACGTTACTCCCAACACACGAATAACAACAAGTTTATCAAACTTCATCCCAGCACACACACCATCATAGGATGTACATCATTTTGTTACATTTTAACCCACACAATCGTTTTCTGCACACCAACACCCGTGAAAGGAGATTTTAAGTTCACCAATCTTAATCTTACATGAAACACTTTTTAACTCATGAACCTTTCCCACTATTGAAAGTATGCATTTAATCTCCCTGGCTCTCTGTAAACCTTTGCTCTGAACAAACAGAGCTGTTGAAAAGCTGCGTCAGCTAGGCTCACCTCAGAGGCATCAGGACGATCAGTGGTCGCATTAACCGATAGGTCAGAGAAATCAGGCGTCTGCTAGTGAAGAATGCATCAAGAGGAAAAACATGTTTTACCTTTTAAATTAAATGTTAAATGAATTTGCTTTTCGGAGAAAAACAACCTGTTTTCTGAACTGTAGACAGAAGACAGGTTTTAAAAGCCAGTCTTTCATCTTGGTTTTGCTTAAGAAAAATTCTAAAAGCACAATTCAAGTTGACATTTCCAGGCTCCACGGGGGGAAAAAAAAATGCAATTAATTTCTCACTCACCAGATTCCTCAAACTCCTGGTTGGTCAGCCTGATGGCGTCTCTGATGTGCAGCAAGCTGTTTTCTAGAGTGTCCAGGTCTCCGTGAGGACAGTTGCATTGTGGGAAGTCCACGCTGCACTTGCACCAGCAATCGTTGTTCTGGCAGACAAACTGACCCTCTGATTTACAGCCGATGTAGCTGAGAGCTGCCTGAATGAAGTATTCCTGTAAGTATCCTGGTAGGACGACCTGCAGACCTGCAGATCGAGGACAGGAGGTAACTTGTAAAAAAACAGACCGTCTATTTAAACTGCTAAACACATCTGCACGCAGCTGGTTTGTTTTAGAAATCCACAACAATACTGACAAAGAGTCTATGGTTAGAAATGTTCCGGTTTTAGGGCCCGTGCTGAGTCAGCTGTTTTAGCACATCGCTGACCTGTTTAAAGCAAAGTAAGAAAATCAGAGGCACCGAATGTTTCACGTGTTCAGGATGTAAGAAACGTGCCTCGGTGCCCAGAAGATGGGAAGGGAAGCCAGAATGAGCGGTTTGTTTGGGTCATTAAATAAATAAATAAACGATGTCAGCTCTGTTGTTCAAAGCAAGAAAGTTCACGACGAGTTTGTTGCAGATTTCAGATCAGCTTTCCTGTTTGTCGGTCTTCACTGTGACTCCAAACAAGAGATGAAAATGAATATTTATGATTTCGCAGTCATCTCCTACATCATTTAGAAATGTGTCACTCCTAGATGCAGCAGAAGTTTTGTCTCTCTGACGTGAGCCACACATCTAACAGGGATGATGAGGCCCACGTGGTTTGAATCTCCCCCCCAGGTACTGATGAGTCATCCTCTGTGCAGTAGAGCCTACAAAATCTCACTGGGAGGTCAGTGAAGGTTTTGCATCAAATGTTCGCAAGCGTTCATTTTGCTGCTAGCTGGGCCTCATGGCCGTGTTGGGATGTCCACATGCTTCAGTCACTGAGAACATCTGGAAGCTTTCTGCCTTTAGTCTCTCTCTCGACTGTGACTACTGGCAACTAGTTTTCACAAACGTTGAGTTTCAGTCAGATGAAATTGGTGCAAACTAGGGTTGTCACGATACTAAAATTTCAAACTCGATTCGATACTGGGACAAAAACTCGATACTTGACTTCGATACTATTTAAAAACACCAGTTTATTGAACAAGTTTATTCAAAAAATAACATTCCTCAATTTACATTGCAAAAATTAAATGTTAAGAATTAAGTGTATAAAGTGCTTAAACCTTTCAAGTATCAGCATTTTTTAAAACGTGCATACAAAAACTGGTGAAAGTTAACACTTTAAATCATGAATTGTCTCACTATATATACACTATTTGCAGAGTGATGTTTTGCTGCTTAAACTCTGTTTAAGGTGCATTTTTGTCATAAGATGTAACGCCACATGTTTTGTTCTGTACTTTTGAACAACTCTGTTGGTCAATAAAGGGAGAAAACGAATTTCTCCACAGTAGGACAAAGGTACATCTACCGGTAATCTTAATAAAAACAGATTGGCGCACGGCAGTGACGTCATTAAAAGCGCCGGTTAGATTAGCTGCGGCTAGTCTGTTTACGCCTAGGAATCCCAGACCAGACCCGCTCCAAACGAACAGGGGAATCACGTTAATGATTCCTAACAAAACCTTTCGACATGAAGATGTTTTGGTGCAGATAATGTCTTATTTCGAGGCTGCACCATGGGTGCCCGTCTGCACCCGTTATATGGATATACACTGACGGCGATTCGCCGATGGATCTAAATACCCCGGGGAATCCAAGTAGCACCAAAGTTGTCAGCGTGAGTAAACAAACGTACTGCACGCTAGAAATTAAGTCCGGGTTGCAATAAACAGGAGTTTTCCTTTAAGCACTTAAGCGTGAATTTACAACTACGTGTCGGACTTGGTATGCTAATTAAGTTGGGCTGTGAAGCGCCTCCCAAATTCGCTGTTTATGTTTTTGTTTATTTATTTGGCAGACAAAACTTGGATCGGAGACAACTCGCATGGGAAATTGCAATGTAGCCATGCGGCGTCTTCTTCTTCTGTTTGTCTGTGTTGTGACTTATTTGTCATTTAAGTATTTAGTTACTAAAGACATACAGTCCTGTTGTTAGCACTGAAAATGTTTTTGTGCAAGTATTTTATTTTGAAGGGAACCTTCAGGAAATGCACTCTTCTTCGCTGATTGTGTTGTACTTGACGAGAGAAAAAAGAGACGTTGAAAGGTTTGGATGTTGCTCAATTCTGAAATGAGCATTAAATGTTCAAGATAAATACGCTGTCGTCCGTCATCATTTTAGAAGCCTTTATTCCACTTCAGTTTTTGGTGCCGAAACCCGGGAAGTGTAAGACTACACTAAATTTCAGAACTGAGTGAAGTGCTAACTGCTATTGCTAGCAGCCAAGATGACGGACCGGCTCGAGCGGATGAAGAAGAAACGTGCTACAATACGGACCTCGGTAACAAAGCTGTTATCCCGCCTGGAGAGTGAGGTGGGCAAGGAGACACCAGATAATGACAAGCTACGTGAGTTTCTGACACTTTTGATCTCCAAGGAGGAAAGTTTAATAGATTTGGATAAGGGCATAGAAGAGGAGACACCTACAGATGCACTGGAGATGGAGATTTCAAACACACAGGATTATATGGACCGCCTTCTGACATGGAAGTTTCGCGCTACTGGAATAATTGAAAGGTCACGTGAGTCTACAAGAGCGCGAGTCAGTGATGCAGGTTCTGGTTCATTTGCATCACAGTCAAGACAAACTGTTAAACTTCCCAAGTTACTGATAACCCAGTACAATGGTGAAATAAGTCAGTGGCAAGAATTTTGGTCTCAGTACGAAGTAGCTATTCACAAAAATGATGGATTATGTAAAACAGACAAGTTCACATACTTGAGATCCTACCTAACTGGAGCAGCTGCACGGACTATTGCAGGACTCACCATGACAGATGACAGCTATGATGATGCAATAGAATTACTCCAGAGTCGATTTGGGAGAAAGGACATTGTGATTAGTGCTCATATGTCCAAATTATTAAACCTGACACCAGTAAAGAAATCATCTGATGTGGCATCTTTGAGACACCTGTATGATGAGTGTGAGATTCAGATTCGTAGCTTGGAATCCTTGGGGGTGCACAGTGACACCTATGGCTGCCTGCTATGTCCAGTGCTGCTGCAGCTCATCCCAGAGGATATAGCCTTAGCCTACACCAGGCGATCAGACTCCAACAGTGAATGGAAGGTTCCAGAGCTTATCGAGTTTCTGCAGAATGAGGTGCAAAGCAGAGAAAGGGCGCTACAGCTAACCAGACCTGGACGTGATGTTAAGGATGCTACCCCAAAGCAGGGCGGTAAACCATTCTATGATTCTGATGTTAAACCTAGAAGGTGGAGCACCCCATCAGCTACTGCCTTGCACACAGCAAACACTGTGCCCCAGACCTGCGTGTTTTGTGACAGCAGTAACCACAAGCCTGAAAACTGCCCAGAACATTCAGTAAGTGCACGTAAAGAAAAGCTGAGAAAACTTGGAAGATGTTATGTGTGTTTAGGTCCAAAACACATAGCAAAGTTTTGCAGAACAAAAATTTCATGTGGTTTATGTAGACGTAGACACCATCAGTCAGTGTGTGAGCAATCTGAAGTGAAGCCTGAGGTCGACAACAGCAATAGTAGTGTACATACAGATGCTGTGTTATCTTCAGTAACAAGTCCTGCGCAATCAAGGATAAAAACTCAGAACACCGTACTGCTTCAGACCGTCAAGGCATGGGCAGTGGGCCCCAAAGACCGAAAAATATCTCGCTGTCTTTTGGATGGAGGCAGCCAGCGAAGCTTCATTCACAAGGATGTTGCTAGGGCCCTTGGACTACCAGTTATCAGACAAGAGATGCTAACTCTCCATGTTTTTGGATCCACTACTCCTGTGACAGAGAAGCGCAACATTGTGAGAGTTGAGCTGGAGAACGTGTGGAACAGTCAGCAAAAATTGGAGATTGAAGCAATAGAGACCCCCCAGGTATGCGCAGCTGTGATTAAAGTTCCAAGTGGACCGATTCAAGCAGAGCTGAAAAGAAGGGAGCTGCAGCTCGCAGACTGTCCACTAGAAGGTGCTAATGATGCAGAGCTGCAAGTTTTAATAGGAGCTGACTACTACTGGCAAGCTGTTTCTGGTAATGTTCAAAGAGTCACAAAGACATTAGTAGCTGTTGAAAACATTTTTGGATGGACTCTCCAGGGTCCAGTGACGAGCTCCAGTGTAACAGATACCACTTGTATGCACATTAGCTTATCTGAAGACACTCAGATTTCAAACCAACTTCATGCATTTTGGGAAGTGGAGTCATTGGGCATAGTTAACGACACAGCAGAGAGCACAGACAACTTAGAGGTTTTGCAAAGTTTCGAGCAGACAACGACCTTCAAAAATGGACGCTACCAAGTTGAGTTACCGTGGCGACCTGACAGAACTCAACTCTCAGACAACTTAAAGGTGGCCAAAAGACGTCTTGAAAGCCTAAAGAAAAAACTGAGAATTGATGCCGCTTTGTATACCAGTTACAACGATGTGATACAAGACTACCCGAAGCAAGGGATTTGTGAGGATCTGTCAGAGGACACATGGTCGACAGGGAACTCAGTCAAATATTACATGCCACACCATGCTGTTGTGCGAGAAGACAAGGCAACAACCAAACTCAGAGTGGTTTTTGATGCATCATCACATGAGGAAAATTCCCCATCCCTAAATGACTGTCTGTACACTGGGCCCAATTTGAACCCAAATCTGCTGGATGTGCTGATTAAATTCAGATTGCATGAGATAGCCTTTACTGCAGACATCACAAAGGCTTTTTTGCAGATATCCCTGACGGATAAAGACAAGGATGCAGTTCGATTCCTGTGGCTCCATGGACCCCCAACCAAAGACTGTGAGGATGAGGTGCGTATTCTCAGAATGAACAGAGTTGTATTTGGAGTGTCTCCTAGCCCATTCCTGCTTGCCGCCACAATCCGAAAGCATCTCAAACAATATGAAACCAAGCAGACAAAAACAGTGCAGACACTGAGAGACTCCTTATACGTTGATGACTTTATTGCCAGTGCATCAAATGTGCAAGAAGCCCATTGTGTGACAACAGAAGCAAAAGACATTCTGTCCCAAGCCGGGATGAACTTGTGCAAGTGGGTTACAAACTCCCCTGAGCTCAGAGCCT